TGAACTTCCGGTCAGCTCCAGAATTGAACAGGGGGCTTCCGGTTAGGACCTTAGTGGCTCCCGGTGTTTTCTATGGGAAACAGGTCCAAATGGCTCTTTGAGTGTTTAGGTTTGCCGAACCTGCCTAGGGTGACCCGCTGGGGTTCCATACTCTTTGCATACGTTTCTGATGTTCCTTCATCCTTTCCAAGAATACACATCATCACCATGATGAGGCAACATAGCAGGACCTCATGGAGTCAAAGGAAACAGCTCACCTCTTTTGCATTTTTTTAAAAGCTCCCATACAACCAAAAAAAGAAAAGGGAAACTACGTTAAAAAAAAATCTCACCATCAGTGATGTTGCTGCTTCCTTGGGACACTTTAGAACTGTAAGCTGACTACCTTCTTGTCAATCTTTCCTAAAAATTTGTCCAGGTCTTCTGGATCAAGCAATTACTTTTTGAGAAGTGGGGGAAACTGTTGCCTCTTTCAGAATTAGTAGGACTAGCCTTCTCTCAACCAAGAAAGGCATGGATCTAGAATGCAGGTGGACACATTAACAATTCCTGGGATCCTGTCCACTTCTTCATGATAATAAGATTGAACTCTTCCAAGATAACCGTGTAAGGTTGTATCTCAATTCCATAGGACCTTCGTAATGAGTCAAAGTCAGTGTGAATCTGAGCAGTTTTATCCATTCAGGTGTCAAGAACAGTCCTTGCAAATTATCCCTTGCCTTTTTTTTTACCAAAGACAGTTCAAGTCACACCGCACAGGGCTGTAGTAATGGGATGTACTACAAGGATGTAGTAAGCAGGGAAAGTTTAGATTGAGAAAGTAATTGGTCCAATTCTGTGAGTTTTCATGGCTTGGAAAGTTTTTGAACATCTGTCTTCCCAATCTCAGTCCAAGAGTTTAATCACTGCACCACATTAGTTTTGGAGGCCAAAGATCCTAAGAGGAAGCAAAGGTTCTTTATTATAACTGCAGGGGGAAGTTTCTAACTTTTTAACCACTCGTAACTGCTTCCAAGATCAAAAGACAGATAAAAACTGGCTGCTCTGGCCAGGGGAGTTACAAACAGTTCTTGCAAATTGGGAAACCACACCCACAAGAGAAAAAAGAAAAAGAAATGAGAGAGAGGGGTGGGGAGAGAAAGGAGAGAAGGAAGGAAGGGGGGGAAAGGCAGGTAGGAAGGAAGGAAAAGATTTGTAGAGCAAGTGATGCTCAATTATTAGCTATTCCTCAAATGCTTTCTGCCAACTGGACTTTTAGGTACAAGGCGATCCCACTGAGCCATTCCCAAGGGCCACAGAAGCATTCACATGAAATTCTTGCCACTGACCTTAGTGTAGTTTGCATGCTTACCCGGAATCGCACACAACTCTTGCATGCTAACAAGACATTCGGAAAGTCTAGTGGAGTGGAGATGGAATCGAGGCAAGGCAAATGCTCTGTTCTTTAGGCATTCACAGATTGTAGGTATAATAAAGCTTGTAAGTATAATAAAGCATCGAGTTGAGCTGGATGTTCACAGCTGCTGGTGTAGGTGAGAGAAATGAATGGAGAATGGGCTCTGTAACCAGCCCTTTGCTCTTTGCAGTGTGGTTTAATGTGGGTTGTGTGAATGTATCAAAGCCATCGTATTTAGCTCCTTCAAGCCAAGTTCCTCCTAGACATTCTGAATGACCTCTCTACAACAGGTGGCAAGTACCAAAAAGACCAAGCAACACACATACGCTCACAGACTTTCTGGGGCCATGGCAGACTATTTTGCTTAGCTTTCTTTTTATCATGTTGTGAAGGCAGCAACAAAATCATCCCACCACAATCCTGTCTTCGTAGGGAATGATATCATCTTTCATGGCTTTATCTATCTGATCCCAAAATTCAAGGATGAAAATCGTATCATTTTATATTGCCTCTGCCTGGAATGCATAAGATACTGTACAGTAATGTTTGAGGAAGGGGAGACATGGTTATTCAGTAGGTTCTCTTCTGCTAAGCCAGGATCCATTTCAGCACGCAGACATTATATCTTGCTTGTCTTTTTGTCCATGGTTCAGTAGCAGCCAACCATTTTGAGTTTACTCAGAAATTCAAATAAGTGACTCATGAGATGAAATAGGTAGCTAGCTGGAGTAGTATTGTGTACCCCTCAGTTACTTTGCCTCTTGTTCCCTGATGGGTATGGATATGCACCCACCTAATTCTTGAGTGACTTCTTTCTCATTTAGTTTGGATGGCGTACTTTGGCAACATAAATATCCTTTTTGTCTGGCTTTGTACCTTAAATGATGTTTCTGATTCCTTATCCTCAAGTTTTTCCCATGCAACTTTTGGAGGCACAAGGCGGTGTCCAGTATAAAGGAAACGCTGGCCATTTAATCTTAGGGTCCAGCCATATAATACATTTTTCTACCAGTTCTGTCAAATTTATTAAAAGTGAACCAAATTTAACAGTGTAAAGGAAAGCACAGGCAAGGAAATTACAAGAATCAAGCTGCTTTAAATTACTCTTGCAAAGCCACTCTTTCATCAGAATAATAGTTGCTTGCTTTGATTCCGTATACAAGGACACCACATTTCTGTAACATTTTATATTTAGACCTCCTAACTCTCCTTGAGACCAGCAATGAAATTTTTCACTATCTTTTCCGCTTTGAGATTAATTCATAGCATCTGTGTGATAGGAATACCTTTAATTAACTTAATTATAAGTTAGTCAACCCAATTATCTGGCTTCACATAATCTTCAATCAAATCCAGGACTGCTTTGCACAATATACTAGTAATCAGCTGGTTTACTGTTCAAAATGTCATATGAACATTGGAAGAAAATGAAGTGCAGGGGATAATATACCTTTACATACCCATTATGACAAATGATGTATAATGCTCATTTCTAAGGTTATGATGGGTTTCCGCTAACTATTGGCTGAATTTTACTTAGCCATTCTTTTTGCATTTGTTCCAGCCAGTGTCATACCGTTTTCCTTTTACAATGCAACTTTCTAATGATGTTACTGGCTGTGACATGTAAACAAGATAAACTTTGCAAGAGCTACACGTAAGGTAGGTAAGATAACTTTAAAAAGACGTCAGATAAGAATAACCCTTGCCAGGTGAAGGAATCCATAACAAGGTTACTGTTCAGCCTTGAAATATGCCACAGGGAAGTACATGGGTGTTTTTTCTTCGGACCTATAATTACTAAGAATCTGAAGGTATTCAAATAATGGAAGTAGTTTTATTAGATTAGATTGATCAAGATTTGGACTGATGGAAACAGGGTAAAGGGAACTGGCACAGAGTTTCTAGACCAAAGGAAAGTACTCACCCTAGATTGCTAGAAATTGCCAGGATTATTTTTTTATTTATTATTTACTTTATTCCGTAGCATAGATAAAGAAGTGAAGGGATTTTTTTCCTTTTCAAAAACCTTTCTTCAACTTCCTGATTTCAGATGTATGGTTTGGTATGACGCATTTACACAAACACTATGGAAGACATCCAGTCAATCTTGGA